ACCAGGCAGCCTTCCTGGAAGCCCTGCCAAGTTGGATCTGAGCCTGAACTGTCTGTGAGCCTGTCTATTTGTCCTGTTAGGTTGAGCGCTAACAGTAGGCACCCAATAGATGCCCCTTCCAACATGGAAAGCAGCCATGGAGTGGCAGCCCAGGGCTCCCCAGCAGCCTTGCTATGCCACCCTGGCACATCCTACCCTCCCTGGGCCTCAGTGTCCCCAGGAGCTTTCTGACGACCCTGAAGCCTCCCACCAAGTGTTGACTGTTAGGGATTTGGTCTAGAAGGAAGGAACCAGAGGACTGAAGGTTCTTTCCAGGAGGGGTCCATCTCCTGGCTCCCTCTGAACCATTCTTGTCTATCAACAAGGTCATCAAGGGAAAAACAAAAACACAACACCAGGCATGGTTACTGCTTGGCCTCTGCTAATGAGGAAACCTCGTCAAGGATTCTGAGCCCCACCAGGGTCTGTAATCCTTTAGAACAGCTATTGCTGGGGCAGCATCTGCCGTGAAGGGGCCTCATACTCCCTTCCCTCGCTAAGCACAGCATTCAGTGCCTCTGTCCTGCCTGCAGCCTCCACAGTAGACTCTTCCCAATTCATCTTCCATAGAGCCTTCTGGCATAAGATCATGAACTACCCTTAGGTATGCCAGTTCCCACCTCCACCTCTTTGCCAAGGCCTGTTCTCTCCCTAACTCCACCTATGGGCAATCTAACCCTAACATACAAGGCCCAACTCAAATGGCACCTTCTCCAGGAAGCCTCCCTGGACCTCCTCAGTCAGTACTCTACCTTCCTGGCTTCTTCTACCACTATTTTGGCCCTTTGTCCCCACCAACATCCTGGGCTCTGTCTCCCCTCTTTAGTCACCACTGCCCCTCACACAGTGCTCAGCCCAGGGCCCTCCCCATTTAGCATGTGTTAAAAGAAATCACCTCTTCAGAAAAGGAAGATAGTAATAGTAACAACAATAGCTTAGGCAATGAACATTATGGCTCATCACAGACAATGCAACTGAGGCCAATGTTAGGGAGTCACTTGTCCAAGGTCAAGGTCACTCTGCTAATGAGAGACAAAGCCAAGATTTGAACCTAGGTTTGTCTGACTTAGAAATGCACACTGGAGCACAGGGGAGAGAACATAGCCTGTTTGTCCCATTGCCATTCTCCTCTAGGCGTAAGAGCACCTCTGAGGAACTAGTTCACAACACAAACCTCTGGAAGAGCCCAAAGTTTCCCCCTTCCCTGTGTATCCAGGTGTGTCTGATCCCTGGCAGGAATCTAGCCTGTGATTATCCCTGGAGTGGTCCCAGAAGGAGGGTACCTCCCTCTTGGGGTTCAGTCCAAGTGGAGGGACAAGGACCTTTTCCTATGCTGGTCTTGACCATTCACTCTCCAGCATGCCAGGAGCACACAGTGAGCATGGACACGGCTGTCTCCTTGGAGATCTCACCAGGGAACAGATACCAAGACAGAGGATGGACCAGATGCAGGAGGAGGAGTTCCTCCAGGGAGAGATGACATTTCAAAGCAGGATTCTAGAATGTTTTTCTTCCAGTAACCCACTGATGAAGTGAGGGAGGGGTGTGTGTGCCTGTGAGAGATAAGAACATGCTCAGAGCTCCATGTAGGTCAGCAGAGGCCCGTGTGAGTTGATGTAAGGGTACCACAGGATGGAAAGGGAAGTGAGTGGATGGATGCTTGGATGGACAGATGGGAGAGTAGACCACTACAGGTGTGTGCAGTGAATCAATGGGTGACGAATGGATGGAGTGGTGGGTGTATGGGTGGGTAAATGAATGGGGCAGATAGACGGGTGGGTGGATGGATGCCTAGGGGGAGGCAGTGGGTCAGCAGAGGGGCTGGTAAGTAGTTGGGTGATTGGATGGGAGTGGGTAGCAGAACAAATGGATGAGTGGAGGGTGGGCAGGTGGATGGACAGGGAGTGAGCAGAGGACAGAGGACAAACTGGCAACTGCACTGGTGGGTGGATGAACCAATGGACACTCAAAAGATAGGCAAAGACCAATCAATGGGTCGACAAGCAGATGGATAAACTGACCAAAAGCTCAGACTGACTTTCGGGTGCAAAGGGTGCATGCTCCCTAGGAAAGGGCTGGAATGGGCTGATAGATGTGGCCGAGCCAGCTCAGTTTAAGGCTCCCAACCCAAACCTCACTGGAACCTGGTATGCAGCCACTGGCATCCCTCAATCCCCAGGGGCAAGTACTTTTTGCTAGCTATGTCCAGCCCCCTCCTTTCTAGCTCCACAGAGAACTCCCTGCCTAGAAACTTCCTCCTTCCCTTAAGCCCTCCTCCCCACTTTGGCCCACCCAATCTGCAAGGGTGAGTTGAGGGGCAGCTGAACTCCATGACTATAGCCCAAAGAGCCCCGGTTCCTTCAGGACAGGGGAGGAGGTAGGGCTTCTGAACTCCAGGCAGCCTGTCCCACCTAGCAGCTCCTAGTCTTCAGCTGGGAAGCATTTGTTCTGCATTCTGCATGGTGATTACAGTTCTGCCAGCATTAACCCCTGCGCTCCTGGGCACAACCTCTTGAGGGGAAGGAAGTAGACTGCAGGAAACTGGGGGAGAAAAAAGGCAAGAGAAAGAAAGACTGCCCAACCCTGTAGTCTTCTCAAGGATGCAAAGACCCTCTCCCTCTCTCCCATTTTCTGGAGGGAAAAACTGACTTGGATTCTTAAATCAGGAGTGGAACCAAAATCAGAGATGCAGAGTACCTGGAGATAGATTTCTTTTTTTTTTTTTTTTTTTTGAGACAGAGCCTCAAGCTGTCCCCCTGGGCAGAGTGCCGTGGCATTACAGCTCACAGCAACCTCTAACTCCTGGGCTCAAGCGAGTCTCTTGCCCGTGCCCGCCACAACGGTCGGCTATTTTTTTTTTTTGGTTGCAGCCGTCATTGTTGTTTGGCGGGTCCGGGCTGGGGATTCGAACCTGCCACCTTAGGTGTACGTGGCTGGCGCCTTAGCCGGTTGAGCTATAGGCGCCGAGCCTGGAGATAGATTTCTATCGGAGACAGTCGGTGAATAAGGGAGAGGGCTCCTCTCAGCCTCAGTTTACCCATCTGTAAAATGAGGCAAGAATCCTTGACTCATAGGTTACCTCACAATGAGCTAGAGGAGGCAGTGCCTGGCAAAAGTGTCATCGTCATAGGGAGATTCTCAACCCCTGGTTGTTTCCTGCCTGCCCTTCCAGCCCAGGGGTAAAGAGGATGGAGCTCGTGTGGTGCAAGTTGTAATCACTTCCACTACCGTTGTTTTTTCTGTCATCTCTCTAGGGCTCACAACACCCTCGCAAGTAGTAAATACCTCCACTGGTATTATACCCATTTTATAGTTAAGAAACTTGAGGCTCAGAGGAGCCAAGTGCTTTGCCCACAGTCAGTCATCGGGCCAGGATTTGAGCTCAGAGTCTTTGACATTGCACTCAACTCCTTCTTTTGCCAGCTGCCCCAGGAATCCTCTGACTAGAGTGACGTGTAACTTATTGTCTAACCAGGTCACCTCTGAGAATAAAAGGAAATGCTATTAATAATTATACTGGGACAGTAGAAGTAATCTGGGACTGTCGTAGGCAAACTGGAAAGTATGGCCATCCTGCCAAAGTAAACGGCTTTGTGTAAGTTACTTCACTTCTCTGCAACATGGACATGATGGCAGAACTGTCCCTATGGGGCTCCCACAAGGATTTAATGTGATGATGCATGTAAGAGTTATAGGGCCTGGTATGCGTTAGGTACTCAGTAAGTGCTGGTTGTTACTGATGCTGTTAGTGGTAATATCCACAGCAATACTAGTTCCTGTTTCCATCACTGTCCTTCTAGTCCATTCTTCACTCACCAGACTTCTCCATGCACACCTGCCTGTATTTTGGGGGGGAAGTTAGACACCTGCCCATGGCAAAGACCTAGCTCCATTCTCCTCTAGCGCTTGACCTTGCCCAATCCACCCTAGTCCCTGCTTCTCACTTGTGCCACTCAGCACCTCTGGGTCTTGACACGGTTCCCAATTCTCCCTGGGACAAATGCTTCTGGACCTGCGCCAGCCCCCCGCTCCCCCCTGCCCCCTAAGAGCTCTAACTTACTGGTTCTTGGTCCTACTTCTGTGCCACTTAAGCAAGTGCTGGAATGCTTTGTGCCTCAATTTCCTCATCTGTCCAGCTAGGGAAATAAGGCTCTCTCTTGGTGGCTACAATGGGGGTTCAGGTGTGACCTCATTTATCTGCTCAATATACCTACTAGATGCTGATAGAGCAGGGACCACTTAATAAAACCTCTGACACCTGCTATTATTATTCCATTTTACAGATGTGGAAACGGAGGCACTGAAAGGTGAGTAGTGGCGGAGGCAGGAAAGGAACCATGCTAAGAAGCTGCAGCCCGCCCCCCCCCCACCTTGACTACTACGCTGCCACTCTACAAGCAGCCTGGGGTCTGCGCCCCAGCGTGGCTAAGTGTCCTACGAGCACCTGAAAGGCCTGTATTGGGTGGAAAGGAATGGAGGGGTTGGGGGAAGAGTGAGCATCTTACGCTTGTAAAATTCTAGGTCTAAAGTCATAGGCATTCAAGGCCTCTGCGATCAAGCTTCCAGGGGCCCAAACTCCCCGCAGGGAGTGGCTGGAGGCCCCAGAAGCAAGATTTTTATCGTTCCTGGTCGTCCCAAGGCCACCCGGGGAGCCAGTGGAGGAAGGGTTGGCGGCCAAGGACCGGAATATCGGCTTGTCCCCCAGCACACTCCGGTAGCCCGCACATTCTCTGGCTCCTCTAGCCCTGTCCCAGGCCGGCGGCAGGAAGAGGCCCGGCCTGGCACCCTCGCCGCGCCCCCTCTGGCTCTAGCCGGCGCTCCGCGAGGCGAGGACGGTGCCGGGGAGGGGGCCGGGCCCCGCCCGCGGGCGGGAGGAGGGAGGCGGGAGGAGGGAGCGCGCCCACACCCCGCCCCCGGCCCGGAGCCAGCCCGCGGAGCCCGCGGCCAGGGCGGCGCAGACCGGCCCAGCCACTCTCCGGGGCTGCCACCCGGGACGCGCGGTCGCGGACGAGTCCGCCCTTCCACCCGCGCCTCCGGGGCTCGCCGAGAGAAGGTAACAGCCGCGGGCGCACTGGGCCTCGAGGCCGGGGGGCGTGACGCCCGGCCGGGTACGCGTCGCCCCGGGGCTTCCGCACCCTCTTGGGCTCCCGGGGGCCGGCATGGGGGAGGGGGCCCAGCCTAGGGAGGTGCGCTCGGTGCCAACAGGAAGGCCGGGCGCTGCCGCGGAGACACGCCGGGACGCTCCAAGTTTTCTGGTTGTTTTGTCACGTTCCCGCCTGGAGAAGGGGGCAGACAGTTGGAGGGGGCGAGCGGGAAAGCGTACTGGGGGAAAAGGGGAGAGCCGAGGGCCGTCTACGCTGCTTCCTGCGCCGGGAAGGGAGGGAAGGACCGCGGAGGGGGAGATGTGTCGAAATGTCTAGCCCCTCGGCGGAGGCCGACGCCGAGAGCGGGAAGTTAGGGGGCTGGGAGATGGACCAGGCACCCTGCCCCCTCCCCGACCGCCGCATTCCAGGCTGGAGCAGCGGATGAGGTCATCCCGTCCGGTTCCCCTCCGGCCAAGGCGGCCGGCCAGCCCCTTCCCCACGGAGCGACCCTCTACGTTCTACCCTAGTGCCTTCCCCCACAGAGTCATTCTTAATCCCCTAGAGACGGTTTATGGCTGATGTCTTTCCCAGGCTTCCAATCCCGGCTGCCCTCCGATTTTTCTATTCGTGCCCCAAGTTTGCAAGACCGGGGAAATTTGAAGCCCCTTTTCTAGACCACGAAACTGAGGCTCAGACGAAAGGACTAGCTGAGAGGGATACCACAATGACACAACGTGGTCAGATGATACCATCTATAACGCAATGTGGCGTGGGAGCCCAAGACCCAGATCGCCGCCAAACCCTCTCCGAGTCGAGGGCTGTTGTGGTTCTAACTCAGGGTGGTCACGCAAGAAGCGCGTCTTGTCCCCTCTTCCCTCTGCGCTCTCTATTGGTCTGCGGCGGAGCCTCCCTCCTCCTGCCCCACTCTGAGCAGGAGAGTCGGATCCCTGCAGCATGACTGAAGACAGCTGGCTGTCCCCTACTGGCTTCAGTTTCCCGTCTCTCCACCTCTAAAAGCTGGACATTGAGGGGCATGGGAATTTAGTCCCCAAGGACGGTACCCCTGTATCCTAGGGGCCAAAGCAGCTTTGGGGAAGCCCCCTAACCGAGAAAGGGACCAATCAATGTCTAGCAGGCACGGGTGGTGTTATCTAGCTGGTCGCCAGGAAGGAGGTTATGTGCACCTGAGCAGTGGCCTCCGGGTTGAGACGTGGTGCTGCTCTTACTGAACAATCTGCGGGTCACCCTCAGGTGAATGCCAGAGTGCAGCCGCCCCGCCTCCGCCCTTCCCACTGGTCACACTGTCCCTGGTCTCCCACCACCACCAGCACCACCACTTGTGCCTCCATAGCGGCCCCTGTTGGCCTCTCTTAGAGCGTGGTGCCTGCCCCCTGTCCCAAAAATTGTCCGTGTCTTTCTCAACCATGAATAAGCTCAAGCTATGTACCCAGGCCCTGACTGTCCTCAACTGGGTAAATATAAGGACTTTAGGGACACTGAGCTGCATGGCTATCACCTCACTCAGAGTCACAGGCACAGAATTTGCAGAGCTGAGGCTTCTGCCTCCCAGGCCTGCCCTCTCCTGAGGTCAGTGCTGAGTGACCAACTCCAACAACTCTTCGCCATTCCCAGTCTTCACTCAACCCTGGAGCATTTACTAGTGATGGTGGAATCCCCACTTTTTTGTTCTTGGACCTACAGTAAATCAGTCTTCTTTCTGAGCCTCATTTTTTCATGTGTAAATTGGGTGTTCTGACCATTAACAGGTGGTATTCCCAGGTTGGTGAGGGGAAGTGAGCCTCAAGGCAAGGAATGGAAAGATTCTATGTGTTTGGCACTAGGAAAGCATCTAATTTTGCCTACTCCAGTGCCAGGTAGGGCACACCTGATGGCCAGCAAATGTCCTGTGGTCAGCATCCAGTGCCACATGGCTGTCACCAAGGGCCCCCAGAATGAGAGACATTAGTGTAAAAATGTTGCCTTTGAACCAGGCCTGCTTTGTTCCAGCATCTGGGCATTTAATTACAACATCTTCACATCTTCCACCCTGGGAGGGGACCTGCCTGAGGTGCTATGGGAAGACAGTACCCTGCCCTCAGCCCCAGGATACTGTAGGGTCTCTCCACTGCAGTGGGAGGTGGGGTATTATTTGGAGGTGCCCAGAAGCATTTGGGAGGTGGGATCATCCCAAGATTGGGGAGAAAACTGATCTCCCAAAGTCAAAGTGGCTGCGGAGTAGGGGCGTTATGGCATTCATCTGTAGTCCCAGCTACTCAGGAGGCTGAAGCAAGAGAATCACTTAAGCCCAAGAATTTGAGATTGCTGTGAGCTATGATGCCACGGCACTCTACTGAGGGTGACAAAGTAAGACTCTGTCTCAAAAAAAAAAAAAAAAAAAGGCTCAGCACCTATGGCTCAAGCGGCTAAGGCGCCAGCCACATACACCTGAGCTGGCTGGTTCGAATCCAGCCCAGGCCCACCAAACAATGACAACTACAATCAAAAAATAGCTGGGTGTTGTGGCAGGCGCCTGTAGTCCCAGCTACTTGGGAGGCAGAGGCAGGAGACTTGCTTGAGCTCCGGAGTTGGAGGTTGCTGTGAGCTGTGATGCCACAGCACTCTACCTAAGGCAACAGCTTTAGGCTCTCTCAAAAAAAAAAAAAGGGGGTGGTGCCTGTGGTTCAGTGAGTAGGCCCCAACCAAACTGCAACAAAAAATAGCCAGGCGTTGTGGCCAGGGCCTGTAGTTCCAGCTACTCGGAGGCTGAGACAAGGAATCACCTAAGCCCAAGAGCTGGAGGTTGTTGTGAGTTGAGACACCACGGCACTCTACCGAGGGCGACAAAATGAGACTCTGTCTCTAAAAAAAAAAAAAATAGAAAGAAAGAAACGAAGTGGCCATGGGGATTGGCAGGAGCCCCTTTAGTTGGGATAGGAATACAGTGGCTGTGGCCACATGGCAGACATAGTTGACCCTGCTATATGACATTTCACAGTGTGAGGCCCACCTCATCCCTAGTGCCTTCCCCCTAGAGTCATGCCAGTCTCTGCTGAACAGGGAAACCTGGTTCTGGACATGTACCTGCCACATAACCTTGGACAGGTCCCTTCCATCTGAACCTCATTCTCCCTGTAAAATGGGCTTACCCTCCAGCTTTGCGAGGTTGTTGGAGAATCAGATGACATCATGTAATGGTTGGCCAACTGTAGCTCGCTTCATAACTTCAGCAAACATTCCACGAAGACTTCTCAGTGCTGGTGCCGGGGGTGCCAGGGAAAGGGATGATTCAGAAGGGCCCCCCCAGGGGGAGGAGTCTGGGTTGGGGGAGGATCAGATGGTGGGAAGGAAAGAGAATGTAGTCAGAAAACAAAGCGAGCTTTGTCCTTTTGCCTTCTTTGTTTTTATCTTGTTATTTAACCTATTTTGAATTTCAAATAACATTAGAAGGGCAGTATTGAGATTGGAGGTGGCTGCAGTGGTTTAAAGGGGAAAAAAAGGTTGAGATTCAGATTTACGTGTCCCTGTTAAGGATTGTTATCTTGATCAACCTTTATCACCTGAGGTCTCAGGCCTGTGGAGGTAAATGACTTGCCCAAGGTCACACTATGAGGACACTGAGTTCTTGGCCTCCTCTCACTATTCTCAGAAGGGGGAGGGGGTAGCCCCTTGGCATGAAGGTTATCGCAGAGAGCTCCTGTGATTAAAGTGGTAGTGATTTGGCACTTGTCAAGTAATGAGCCCAAGCTGGAGGGAGGAAGGCAGGAAAATCCAGGCAGCTGCCCCACCTCAAAATGTGTTGCCGACCTGAGGAGACAAGACCAGGCTCCACAAGCCAGTCAAGGGCTGTGTGAGTCAGAGGCTCTGAGTTCAAGTCTCAACTAGCTCTCTCAATCTGACCTTGAACAGGCTTGCCTTCTCTGGGCCACAGGAGAAGCAGAGGGTGGACCATAGGATCACAGGTGCTCTCTAGCCTGGACTTTCTATGATGCTAGAAGGAAGGGGTCAGACCAAGAGATACTTGAGAAGTTTGGGGCTGAGGAGGGTGTGGGGAGAGATCAGGAAGGCAGAGTCCGACAAGGAATAGCTTAGCTTTGGGCAGCAGCTTAGTTTTTCCAAAATTTGTTCCCTGACACCAAGGATCCTACATCAATTTGACAAACTGTGATAAAGTTCTTTCCCGTAGGCCTTCTCCGAACCTTGAATGTGCTCATGCATGGAGGGGCAGCTGGGAAAAGCCACTTTTGACCACAGGATCCTTTTTCCAGGAAGCACCTTGGAGCCAGAGGGTTTGGAGGAACCTCTGCTCTAGCTGTTTACACAGCAGTTCACAAAGCCTTGGCAGTCCCCTCCTACCTCCTGGCTTCTCTGGGTGGAAGAGATTTTACCCCACAGAGAAGGGAGGTGACTTGCTTAGCACACCAGCAGGAGGCAGTATAGCCTGGGACTCAAGGGTTCTGGGATTTGGGGGTATGTTGCACTATTTCCTACTGTGTAGCCTCAGGCAAGTCATGCACACATTCCTTTGTGCCTAGGTCTGGTCCGGACTGTTCTGTGCCTTTAAATGATGATGCAGGTGAGGCATTGACACTTAGCAAATGCCTTATAAGTGGCACCAATCATTTCCAGTTTTGATGGATATTCATCTTTCATAAGTTTTTTGGACCCCACTCAGGCAGTACCTACTCGGAGACAACTACAATTCTGATTTCTGCTCCTGTCAATTGGATTTGCCTGTTCTTGAACTTTCCATATGTGGACTCACGTATGTCCTTCATGTCTGGTCGTTCAGCATTTAGTGGGTCCTCTCTGGCGTGTTGTTGGGTGTAACTGTCACTCCTCTTTAGCCACTACTATTTAGAACCAGTATTTCCTTCTCTGCTCCAGGCTTGCCATCAGTCACTGTCCTGTCTTCCTTCCAGGCCTCCACTGTTGGTTGGGTAGGAGAGGAGCCAGCCACCTTGGAGACACATCTCATGCCTTCTCTGCTCTCGGATAGAACATCTGCAGCTGCTTCCACAGGTCTGGGAGCCAGGCCTCAGGAAGAGACAAGCATGAACCCCTTATAGTCTCAGCATTATAGGGAAGCCTCCATCCACCCCTTTCCACTTCAGGGGAAAGAAGCTGAGAAGTGGACCCTGAGCCCAGCCCCCTCTCTCCTCTGGCCCCTGGTGGGCATGGACTAGCAGTTGTGAGCAGCCAGAGCTGATGCCCGGCCCCCAGGGGGCTGGAAGAGCCCCAACCATGAGCCTGGGAAAGCTCTCGCCTGTGGGCTGGGTATCCAGTTCGCAGGGAAAGAGGCGACTGACTGCAGACATGATCAGCCCCCCACTAGGGGACTTCCGCCACACCATGCACGTGGGCCGTGGTGGGGATGTTTTTGGTGACACCTCCTTCCTCAGTAACCATGGGGGGAGCTCCAGGAGCACCCATCGCTCACCCCGGAGCTACCTGGCCAAGAAGCTACAGCAGGTGCGGAGGGTGGGGGCACCACCCCGGCGGATGGCTTCTCCACCCACACCCTCACCAGCTCCACCTGCCATCTCCCCCATCATCAAGAACGCCATCTCCCTGCCCCAGCTCAACCAGGCTGCCTATGACAGCCTCGTGGTGGGCAAGCTCAGCTTTGATGGCAGCCCTGTCAGCTCTCCAGATGGCCGCTCCAATTATGGTGAGGATTGGGTTATTTGTCCACTATTCTGAGACTGAGGCCCAGAGGAGCTCAGTGGTTCTGCCAAGCCTCTAAGTGAGTTCTTTTCCCCATAGTCGCTTGGTCTCTCCATGGAGGTTGGGCCCAAACCCCAGACCATGGGTAGGGAGGGGGTAAAGAGGCAGGAACCAGCTCACCCCACCAAAACACACTGAGATTGAGAGTGAGGAGATGGGATTTGAGTTCTAACTGCCCCTAACTTGCTGTGTGTCCTAGGCAAACTCTTCCCACTATCTGGGACCTCAGCTGGGCCAGCCCATCCCTTTTCGCCCCCTCAACCAAAGCAGCCCCCTCATGGTGAGGTTATCAGGGCTGGGTTCCAGTGCTGGTTCTGCCCGACTTCCAGCAAGCTAAATGACCTCTAAGTTCAAGTCCTCGCCTGGATAATGAGTCCCTTAGAATCTTGCTAGGATTCGGTGAAATCATGTCCCAGGCAAGGCCCAGAGGCTGATACATAGCAAGTGCTCAGGACTCTAGGCTGCTGTTGTTTGAACAAAGCTTCCTGTAACTTGACAAATTTGGAAAACCACTCAGAGGGATGCACGCCAGTGGCTCTTCCTTGCCAGGAGTGTCACCTGGGCTGTGTGAGGGAGCTGCTAACCTGGGAACCATAGGCCCCTGCTGCCACCTAGTGGCCATTCTCTGCCTGGCGGCCTTATGCCCACTCCTTTTTTTTTTGAGACAGCCTCAAGCTGTCACCCTGGGTAGAGTGCATGGCATCACAGCTCACAGCAACCTCCAACTCCTGGGCTCAAGCGAGTCTTCTGCCTCTGCCTCCCAAGTAGCTGGGACTACAGGCAACCGCCACAAGGCCTGGCTATTTTTTGGTTGCAGCCATCATTTTTTGGCGGGTCCCGGGCTGGATTCCAACCCGCCACCTTAGGTGTATGTGGCTGGCAACTTAGCCACTTGAGCCACAGGCACCAAGCCCTTATCCCCACTCCTGTGGCAAATACTCAAATGCTCTTGCCCCAGGGGGCTGCTCAGAATCCCTACTGAGGCCCAGTTCACAACAACCCCTTATGTCTCAGGCCAGGTAGTCCTGGGAGCAGGGTCTGGACCAAATAACCTCTGGAAGGCATATGCCTATCCTTTGAGTCTGGCTGCTGGTTCCATCCTTTATCTTCAAATCAGCCCACGTGCCTTGGATTCACCTATATGTAGGTATCTGCCAGGCCAGGGCAGGGAATAGGGGACCATGGCCAAGTTCACAGTTAAGACTGAGGGGATATTTACATTGCAGGCTTGGCTCCACCCCGCCAGATGCTGTGGCCTTGGGCCATGCCCTTCTCCTCATCCCAAACTGACCCTCCCCTTCCTCATCTGCAAAATAAGGAATATGACAATTTTCAGCTTTCATGGTTGACAGGACAAGAGACCACAGGTTCACTGTATTGGAGAGATGGGAGAAACTGAAGCCAAAGAAGGGAGTGACTTGCCAGGGGCCACACAGCAAGCCAGGGCTGGTCCTGGCTCTTCCCTCCCTACTTCCTGGTCAAGGGCCCCAGCTCTGATCCCTTTCCTATTTCTCTTCCAGGCCTGGATTCTGGGTTCTGCACCATCTCCCGCCTGCCCCGTTCAGAAAAACCTTGTGATGGAGACCGCAATGGTTCCTTCCAGCCCGGGCCTGAGCTTCGTCGCTCTGACTCTCTCTTGTCCTTTCGCCTAGATCTTGACCTTGGGCCCTCTCTCCTCAGTGAGCTACTAGGGGTCATGAGCCTTTCTGAAGCACCTGCAACAGAGTCCCCCAACCCTACCACAAACCCTTCAGCCCCTGCTACAAATTTCCCAGCCCCTGCTGCAAGCCCCTCACCCTATGGACACTGTCCCAATGGGGTAACTGCTAGGTTGGGCCCAGAGGCTGAGGTGAGAGCCAGCCCGGTGGGTGAGGGTCCCCCAGTAGCCAATGACCCGGACCTCGGCAGGCACTGGGGTGCAGGCTGGCAGGGTGGCCGTCACTACTCCAAGATGGATGCTCGGTGTGAGCTGGTGGGGGTGCTGCCCCAGGCTCCCTCCTGGGAAAGCCTGGAGGAGGAGCAGGTGCCCCAGGCAGGCAGCAGGACCCCAGTACCCACCACAGTGCAAGCAAACACCTTCCAGTTTGCTGACACGGAGGAGGATGATGAGGTCAAGGTTTGAGTGTCTGGGGCATGGGCTCAGGACCCCGCCTAGCCTTGGGCACCTCTCTGAAGGGCCCAGGTGTAGAGCTAGCCTCTTCTCACTTAGCAGCCCCTCCTCCTACCAGACCTGAGAGAGAAGCCAAGATGCCTACAAACTCTTCCCTCTCTCTGCAGGACAGACCTGGGAAGGACAGGGAAGATGGGGCTTGCTCTGGGACGTGGGTTTTCCTGGTGGGCCCTGCCAGGTTGACCATCTTCCCCCAGTGCCACTCTGGACCCAGTAGCCATTCCTTAGGCCCCACCCTATGCCACCCCCTGCTGGCAGGAGGGCCCAGCCCCACAGTGCTGCCTTTGTGCCCTACGAAGCTGTCCTTGTTGGTTGAGGGGTGGGGAGTGTACCACACAGGGCCATTGTCTCACCTCCCACAGGGACCAGCAGCCCTCAGAGGGTCCCCACTGCACCCCTGAAAGCCCCATCCCAGGCTGCTTCCCCAACATCCCCACCTCAGCCTCCCACCTGCCCAGAAGCCTCACAGAAAGGTCAGATGTGACCTCACAAGGAGAAATCTCACCACCCCAGACCTGCCTCTGGAGGCTGATTAAAAAGGCTTTTTTGATAAAAGGTGTCCCGCAAGATGCTTGGAGACCTGGGAGAACAGTGCATAGCTCCACCTGCTTAAATACCCTCCCCTCTGGGAAGTTTGTAAAGCCAAGGACCCCCCTGTAGACCCCCAGCAGGGGAGGGGTGTGGACAGCCTAGGCAAGAGTAATGAGTAACCAGCCTGGAATGTCCCTGAGATAAGAGGCCAGGTGGGAGTCCTTATCTGCAGTTCAGGGCTGGGGCTGTTCCATAATCCCAGTCTGGCATTTGTTCTGGTGATAATAGGGGCTGGTAGGCTGGAGTACACATGTCCTCAGAGCTGTTAGGAGCATGTCTCAGCCTTCCCACTTGGCAGTCCTGTGTCCTTGTGCCTCAGTTTCCTCCCCTGTATCATGAATATGTCAAGAGCTTTAGAATGCACGAGAAGCACTAACCACAGTTCCTGCCACAGGCTAGAAGGGGGTTGTTTTGTTTGCTCTTGGTCTTGGGGGAGGAAAATGGGATCAGAGTGACAGGAACTGCATGAGGGTAGATGGACAGATCCAGGACCCAAGAGCTATTGATCCTGCTGTGGCTCAGAAGAAGACTCAGGAATGGGGTCCAGGTCAGGGTCTTTTATTCTGATGAGGTGCTGCATGTACACTCACTCTACCTTGAAGGAGGAGAGTCTGAACCCGCCCTTCACGCCCAGGTAGTTCAGGTGGCTGTGACCCAGCCTGTTGGGAAAGGTCATCTGGTGCCCATCTGGCAGCTTCATGTTGAATTTGTCACTCTCAAAGGTCACAGTGAACTGTAGGGGGGGGGAGGAAGGTGTCATGGAGGCAGAAAGCATGCCAGGGCAGTGCCTGGTGGCCCAGGGGTATCCTCTTGACATCCTCCCCAGATCCCTTTTGAACCCTTTGACTTCACCTTGACCTCTGACCCTGGGCTGAAGGACAGGTGATTTTCCCGCTGCTCTTGTCCCCATTTGCTGCCATCCAGTGAGTTGCAGACGATGGTAGATTCCTTGAAGCGAGGGTTGAAGTGCAGGTTCAGCTTATCTGAGGCCTGGCCCAGGTTCATTGTAAAGCTGCAGAGGAAGGGATAACAGGTGAGGTGTAGGGGTCTGGGTTGGGCAAAACAGCTTGTGTCGCTCTTTCGAGTCCTCACTTCCAAGATGACAAAGAAAAGAAGGGACAATAGTTGTACCAAAAAGGGCCGTGACCAAGTGCAGCCTGTTCACTGCAGAAACTGCACCCGATACGTGGCTAAAGCTATAAAGAAGTTCGTCACTTGGGACACGGTAGAGGCCGCAGCTGTCAGGGATATTTCTGAAGTGAGTGTCTGACAGCTATGTGCTTCCCAAACTCTATGTGAAGCTGCATTGCTGCGTGAGCTTTGCCCTTCACAGCAAGGTCGTCAGGAACCGTTCTTGGGTAGCCAGTGAGGACCAAACACCCTACCCCTATTTAGACCTTCTAGTGCTGCCCCATGACCTCCACCAAAGTTCATGTAAGGAAGTGAGTCCTTGAGGACTGAAGAAAAAGTATCCTTTGGAAAAAAATAAAATGGAAATTATACTTTAAAATAAAAACAACTCGTGTCGGAGGGTTTTGGTTGACCATAATAAGCTGGAAGAATCACCAAAGAAAGGTGGTGTTCATTGAGATCTGTGCCTTAAAACAAGGGAGGTGACAACCTGCTCAGACTTGGCAATATGGTAGTACATACCATCTGGGACAGGGACCAGGGCTGTTACCAGAAGGGTAACTGATAGTGATAGCTTCCAGAATTGGGAGTGTCCATCCTGAGAGAGTATTGCTGTCCTGAAATATCTGCTGACGCATTAAATTTGGCTGCACACAGTAGCCAACCTAAGGTGGAGAGGTCCCCGTTACTAGAGATATGCAATCGGGTTGTGTGACTTCATGACAGGATCACTACAGGAGCCTGAGTTAGACTGTCACAGTCCCTAAAAAGAGGACATTCTGGGTTGTGGGGCGTCTTCATGCAAGAAGCTCAGACCAGGAATTCCCACCAACTAGGAGAGAGAAGTCACTTTTCTCTTGGCTATTACCCCATCCATCTGCCCTCCTCCCTGAATCCAAAGTGGACAGAGAGCAGTCCCAAGGCCCACTGACAATTGTCTGCACACATGAGAGCCGGTGCTCAGAGTGGGGAAATTGGGGAAATGCCTCTGGTTCTAATCACCAGGATGCAAATGAGGCCACCTGGCGACCCCTGGTGGCTGCCCTGATTTAATGTGAAGAAAAGGCGGTCCTCTGGCCACTCAGCTGGGTAAGAGGACAGTATCTTTTGGGGGTTTGGGCTCTTAGTAGAGACATCTGACCCTTAGGGAACCAGGCAGAGTTTTAGGGCTTCTCCACTTGCCCATTCAGTGGCTGTTGGGGCCAAGGAACAGAGCATATGGCATTAGGTCTGAATTCTGTGGGCCCTCAAACCCAGCCTCAGACCTTTTTTTTCCCAACACTTTTAATTTTTATTTATTTATTTATTTATTTATTGTTGCAGTTTTCAGCCAGGGCCGGATTTGAACCAGCCACCTCCGGCATATGGGGCCAGCACCCTACTCCTTGAGCCACTGGCACTGCCCCCCTCCTTTTTTTTTTTTTGAGACAGAGCCTCAAGCTATCCCCCTGGGTAGAGTGCCATGGCATCACAGCTCACAGCAAC